GCATGTGCCATGAACTTCCTTCTAAGGTTGAATATTCCATTCTATGTATATACATTTCATTATTCATTCATCTATTAGGGATACTTATGTTGCTTCTACTTTTTAATCTATTGTGATAATGCTATATGGGTGTACAGATGTCTCGAGGTTATTTATTACCTAGGTTACATGGTAAATCTTAGTTTTTCAAGAACTCATACTCTTTTTCTAGAGAAGTTGCACCATTTTACATTCCCATCAACAGTGCAGAGGTTCCAATTTCTTCACATCCTCACCAAGACTTTGTCATTCCAATGCATGTGTTATCACTGTAGTTTGGATTTGCATTTTTCCCAGTGATTAGTGACGTTGGGTGTCTTTTCATTGTGCTTATAATTGTTAAAACTCCTTTGGAAGTCTCTTCATAATCTGGGCCATAATGTAAGTCAATACGTTTATGGTATTTTAATGTTTTTGTTGTTGTTGAATCATAGTTCTTTACATATTCTGGATATTGATACAACTTGCAAATATTTTCTCCCAGTCTGGGTTGCCTTTGTATGCTATTGATTTTGTGTCCATTGATGCAGAGAAATTCTGAAACCCAATTTACTTTTTTCTTTTGTTGTCTGTGCTTTTGGTGCCTATAAATGAAATCATTGCTAAATCCAATGACATGAAGCTTTTCCCATTTTCTGAATTTTATAGTTTTAGGTCTTAACTTTTCTTTGATCTACTTGTAATTAATTTTTGTATATGGTGTAAAATAAGGGTACAACTTCATTCTTTCATTAAGTGGCTATCCAGTTTTCCCAACACCATTTGTTGCAAAGACCAGGTTTCTTTTTTGTATGACTGAATGGATCGCTGTCATTAGCTGTGTTAGCGGGAAATACATTTGGGAAAATTTGGACAGGGTAGATTATGGAATTTTGGGGATCGTGAAACTGAAGATGAATCAGATTTTAGAGAAATCAAGGGAATGTTAAGGAAACTACTATGAAGAAGGAAAGACAAATGCAGCCAAGCATGAAGAGTATCCACTGGAATTAGCAACTAGGTGATCTTGATGAGAGCTGCTTAGTAGAGAGATAGAAGTAAAAGTTAAGACTACAGTGGACTGGATAGAGGATGAAAAGAGCTGTAAATAAACCTTAGAAAAAAGCTGAAGTGAAAAGCAATTTGCAGGATGACATATAATGTACAATTTTAGTTTCACACTTATAGAACACGAACTACTTTAGGTACATAAATATGTATTGAGCATCAATTCATGTACAGAAATTATAAAACCACCAGTTCCTGATAATTGTTACCTTTGATGGAAGGAAATTGGACTGATGAAGAGTACACAGGGGTCCCAAAATGTATATGTAATGCTTAATTTAATAAAAAATGGATGTACACACAGCCTTTTATTGGCACGTTTTCTTTCCCAATTTAAAAAAATCCATTTGTAAGTGAATGGTAAAAACATGGTAAGAGACTATGGCTAATTAACCTGGTTTATTAGGTATTTTTCCTTTAGAAATCTAAAGGGTTATTTAGTAAATAACCTGTGCCAGTTTCAAGTTCTTAGCAAATGCTTCTAACAATCCTATACATGTTTCATAGCAGGTCTATTTTTACAGATAAAGTCAGAGCTTACTTATTGTTAAATGGTCTACTGAGTATTTGAATACAGGCATTTAATCAGTTTGAGAACCAGAAAAGAGTAATTCTTCAAAAGGTTTGTTCAAACTATACACTAATTTGAGAACCAAAAAATTTAATCACTCAGTGACAGAGGAAGTTAACTGCATATTTCATGTGGTGGAAAAAATGGTTGAGGAAAAGAGATTAATGAATGGCAAAAAGGTGTAGCAATAGCAAGGTCTTTGAGGTAGGAAGACATAGCATTATAGCACTGGTAGCAGTAATAGCCTTGAACAAAGTACTTCTCCAAAAAAGTAACCAAGAATTGGCAGTGTTAACTATAAAAAGGGAAGAATGAGGAAATTACAAGTTAACATCCCTCAATTTCTTTCTGAAATGAGAACTACTGGCTGACTCGGATTCGGCAGCCAAGGGGCCTTAGTCTCTTGAGACTTTTATCAAATGATCTAATCTGTTCTACCCCAGTGAAATGGAAGGTCATTATTCTCGGTCAGATGTCATTTTGTGCTTCTCTAGGATAGCCCACCACTTCCTACCAACAAAGCCTACTACAAAGAAAAGGCCCTGCTCTTTAGTGGCGGTCTTTGGGGATGTCATTTAACCTCTTTGGTCCTCAGCTTTAATTCATATCTACTAAAATAATGTCTACTCTCATAGGGATCAAGACGACTGAATTCAATAATAAAAATGTCTATGGTTTCAAAAGCCTTCCACAATGTTAATCTAACTTATTGCCATTCTAACATTCCTTGTAGGTATAATGTCAGCTATTCATTTTAGAATTTTTGCCTCTATATCCACTAGTAGACTTCCTATTTTCAATTTTTAGTCCTCTTTCTCCCAGCCCATTTTCTAACAACTCAAAGAAACTATATATATCAAAAACTGGCTATTCACATGTACCTGTTTGCCTGGTACAGTTCTGGTTTTCACTCATTGTCCTAGCATAACAATGACCACTCTAATCATAATTTACTTCAGAGATTAAAATGCCTGTATAGTTGACATCTAGCAGAGCATAGCCAAAATCCTCTCCTTCATGAGGTACTTTTTCGTTTTATACAAAGAATACATGTCAAGATGTAACCAATTAAACTGCCTCTCAGAGGCTAAATGAATCCCAATAGGTGTTCAGAAAGATTGTAGGTCAGAGAAGGGGCTGATTAAGAAGAATCAGCATTTGCTAATAGTTAACATTTGGTAAAGAGACTGGAAATGAAAAATGTTACAATTAATAAGTTGTGTTCTCTGAAGACAAAAAAGGTCCTAACAGATAGCCTAGTACAATATTTCTTATAAGGAAGTGAAAAGGCTGAGATTTTAAGGGTTAGCCTTTTCAACTGAAGCTGAAGTCTTAAGAGTAATAAATGTGTTCTCATTTCTAGAGTATTTTTAGCGGGGAGGAGGAAGAGACCAAGCACCCACTGAGTTCATCCCACAAGAAGCCATAACTTTATTAATGATAGAAACAGTACAAATTTCAAACCAAGCTGCGGTTACTCTTTTCAAACACCAAAAAAGGGTCCTCCTTTTTTAGATGGTTACATTGTTAATTCCTGTAAAAGAAAAGAGATCATCAGAGGTACAGGCAAACTGAGAATTCAGGTCACTAACACCTAAGGCAACTCAAGATAGGCTTTGAAATAAGGCTTTCTAACTGGCTGATATTAAGCATAGAAAATAAAGTCACTCGTTATTGGACAGGGCAGAGGGAGTCAAGGAATAAAGGCCTGGACACTTACCATAATAGCATTTACAATATCATTACTGTTGTTCTTCAGGGCGCGGACTGCCTTCGCTCTCGACACATTTGCTTGTGACATGACCAATTCTATGTCCTTAACTTCCACACCTGTTTCATCAACCTGAGAGAGAGGGAAAAAACACATAATAAACTAAAGGCCAGGACAACTTCAGTATAGTTCTTTGGAGTCAGGAGTCTCTTGAATCTAGTTAATTTAACTCAAAAACTACTTCACTCAATGGAGTTCAAAACCTTAAGACAATACAGAATCCACTCATTAATACAAACAATACTACCTAGAAAGGATTAAAAGTATAAAAATATTTCTTATATACCTCTTCCTCTTCGCTCTCCTCTTGTACAGTTGGAGTCTGTGTGTTTTCTTGAATGTTTGAGACAGTTTCACCTTGAACTTTAAATTTCTCAGCAGCTGCTAGCTGTGCTTGCTGAGATAAATCCTCGATCTACAGAGCAGAAAATAGATTCATGTGAGTAGATCAATATGCAGTAAATGAAATCATTTGTATGACTTCCCAACTCTCTCTCTAAACCCACTTCAGGTTAACCTACTCTAAAGCTTTAAACCGCCTGCCCTCAGATTATATATATATATCAATGTAGTAGCTTATGTTTAAAGTAATGATTCTTAACCGTGGGGTGATTTTGTTGCCCAGGGGACATCTATCAAATATCTGGAGATTTTTTCTGTTTGTTATCATAACTGGATATGATGCTGCCAAACACCTATAATGCACAGGATAACCCTTCCACGACAAAGAATTATCTGACCCCAAATGTCAATGGTGCTGAGGTTGAGCAAACCTGGTCTAGAGCAACTTGCAAGGAAACTTTCCTTACCTTGGCTTCTCCAAAAACTATATAGGTATCTGAAGCTGGGCTCTTGTAGACATCTGGTTTTGTGATGACAAAAAGGATATTCTTAGATTTCCGGATAGTGACCCTAGTAACCCCTGTAACCTGTCGAAGACCCAGTTTGGACATAGCCTAAGGAATAGGAAAAAACATGAGTTTCAACCTTAGAAGCAGCTTCAGAGAGGACCACAATAATACCACATCCAAAACAAAGCCTTTTCCTGGGCGCAGAAAAGTTTACATAAGAATACAGAATTGGTTTCCAGGATTCCTACGCTTTTTGCCATAGTTACTGTTATTTTAACTAAACATGATTCTACCACTACCACTACAGTTTCTGCCCTCCCCCAAGTTGCTTCATCAGAAACTTTAATCCTTGTTTGTAACCTAAAATCTTACCTTCCGTGCCTTCTTTTCACTCCGGCTCTGTTTAGCTTTACTGACAGGTTCTTCATCGATTTCAGCTGCTGCTGCCAGCTAAGAAGATAAAACAGCTATGAGTAAGCTGGACTGTAAGACTTGGATACCATGATCCCTCTGTGGTTTTCCCTTTATGGAGGTTTATAGCTCCAAATACATAAGTTATCTTTTCTGATCAACCCTGGTTCTCCAATGCTTCTTTGATCAAGTACTTACACCAGTGAATAAGAAAATACCTGGGCTTGTTGTGTGGTTGCCTGTGTGGAATCTTGTTCCTCAAGCTCTGGCACTGATTCATCACTGTCAGATTCTGTTCCAGACCCTAAAATGACAAATAACTTTTACTATTTTATAGTAGAAATTATAAAAAGGAGGTATTTCACCATGGCCTGCCTGGATTAGAGGTCACACTCGCTGATGCTAGATCTTGCAAAGTTAAATGTAAATGTAAATCAACTGACTTGTATGAATTCACTTGACAGCCCCCCCCGCCACTTAATCATAAACTAGTGTGTACACATCTATTAAAGAGCCAGCCCCAGAAATGAGAGGTAATTACTAGATACAGCCGAACAGTTTATACACTATAATGCTTCTTTCCCTTCTTGGCAAACAGCAATGATCTATGTAACTCCAAATCCTACCCAACAGCCCAACCATCTCAGAAAGGTTCTGGCAGATGAGGTGTTTGCAGATAACACTGAAGTGAAAAATAAGATCACATTGTGGAGGCAGACCAAGGAGGGCACTTTCCCTTTATCTTTTAAATTGGGTTGGGGGAGGCCAGAAGCAGTTGTGTACACACATTCAGCCTTATTTTCAAATCACTCACCCTAGCAATTTGATCTAATCAATACAGCTTAAAGATTTTCAATGAAGCCGACCTATAGTCACCTCTACTACTTATTGTCTTGTGACCTCGCTCATTTCTTTCAAACATAATTCACATATTTTAAGTTTTCCTCAATTGAAGGCCAAGCATCAATAGACTACTGAGGAGGGAAAAAAAGCATACACCTGCACCATTCTCAGGCTAGGAAAATAGGAAGTCCCTGGGCACTGGTCATTACTAAGTCTAAGAAGTGAAAAGAAATTCAAAGTTTCAATACTCGTTTCCCACTATTTTAGCAAATCCCAGGCCCAGGCACAAGGTAGGTTAGTGATGTGGTAGAAATTAGAGCAAATTAAAGGTCTAGGAGGTCTTGGTTTCCAATGTCAGATCAGTTAGGCAAAAAAGATGGCGAACTCAAGACTAGATCCCATTACACAAGATACACAATGGACTATGTAAGGTGATGAAAACCAAGACTGTTTCACATTCCTAGAGCTTTTGCATTTAAAATTATAATTCTATGTTCTATGTCCAAACACAAGCAGATATATCTGGAGAAAGCGGCGCATCCTAGGGTTAGTACTGGTGGGTAGCCCCCAAGAGGGGTGTGGGCGACACACCATGCACACGGCAAACCAAGTCAAATACCCTTGTTGTTCTTCAGAACAGGCTGCTTGGCAGAGGGGGCTGGGGCAGGGATCCCAGCAGGTTTGGGGGTGGGCATGTTGATGAGAACCGACTGGAAAGGCACTCCCCCCGAGATTGGTTCCGGGGGAATCAGAGGTGGCAGCTCATCCTCATCAGCAGGGGCTGTGGGTTTACAGGGTGATTCCAGCACCAGCCCAGGTGAGGACGGCAGAGGTTGCTGTTTAGGAAGCAGAGGGGGAACTGGGGAGGGAGCAAGAGGCAGAGAGACTGATGGGGTGGGTGCTGGAGAGAGAGATGCTGATCCAGCTTTAGGAAGGACCTTCTCAGAGGCAGCTGCTGCTAGAGGGGTAGATGTCTCAGACTCAGGAGGAGCCATGGGACCCTTTGGAGAATGAAAAGAATCTTTGCCTTTTAAGGCAGAAATAGGGAGGGCTTTTGGAGCTTTTGGAGAAGTGCCTTTCTGAGCAGAGACTGCCAGAAGAGGGGCAAGAGCTACTGGAGAAAGGGGTCCTTCAGTACCATTCTTAGCTGAAGGATTTGGGCACACAGAAAGTGAACTCTTCTTGGCTGGTGAGCCTTTCTGAGTGGGAGCTGTGACAACTGGTACACTTTCTGAAGTTGGGGCAACAAGTTCTGCTTTGAGAGCTGTGGAGCCTTTCTTTATGGAGGGCCCTTTAGATGCCTGAGGGACAATGGACCCTAAGGGACATGTGACTGAAACTGAGGAAATAGGGGCCTCTTTGGAGGCTGGGGTTGCTGGGCCCCCTCTGGGGGCTTGGGTAGCTGAGAGCTTTTTGGGGGATGGAGTTTCTGAGGCTGGAGACTCTTTGGGGGAGGGAGGAACCACAGCTGAAGGAGTAGGGACCCCTTTTGAGGATGAGGTTCCTGGGGCTCTTTTGGGGGATGGAGTTGCTGGGGACTCTTTGGGGGAAGGAGCATTCACAGATGAGGGAGTGGGGGCTTTTTTGGGAGATGTGCTAGCTGGTGCTCTTTCAAGGGCTGGAGTTTCTGGGGATTCTCTGGAAGAGGGAGGAGCTATAGCTGAGGGAGTGTGGGCCCCTTTGGGGGATGGGGTTGCTGGGGCTCCTTTAGGGGAGGAAGGAGCCATAGCTGGGGGAGTAGAGGCACCTTTAGCAGGTGGGGTAGCTGGAGACTCTTTGGGGGACAAAGTTGCTGAGGCTCCTTTGATGGAAGGAAGAGCCACACCTGAGGGAGTGGGGATTCCTTTGAAGGACAGAGTTGCTGGGGTCCCTTTGGGGGAGGAAGGAGTCACAGCTGAGGGAGTAGAGGCCCCTTTGGGGGACAGAATTGCCGGGGCTCTTTTGGGAGATGGAGTTGCTGAGGCCTCTTTGGGAGAAAGAGCCATAGCTGGGCGAGTGGAGGCCCCTTTAGTGGGTATGGCAGCCGGAGACTCTTTGGGGGGTGAAGTTGCTGAGACTCCTTTAGGGGAAAGAGCTACAGCTGGGGGAGTGGGGTCTCCTTTGAGGGAGGGAGCCATAGTTAGTGGTTTAGGGGTTTCTTTGGGGGCCGGGGTTGCTGGGGTTCCTTTGGGAGAGGAAGGAGTCACAGCTGAAGGAGTGGGGTCCACTTTGGGAGATGGAGTGGCTGAGGCTCCTTTGGTGGGTGGGGCAGCTGGGGACTTTTTGGGGGATGAAGATGTTGAGGCTGCTTTGGAGAAAGGAAGCACCACAGCAGGAGGAGTGGAGGCTCCTTTGAGGCATAGAGTTGCTGGGGCCTCTTTGGGGGAGGGAGTCATAGCTGGAAGTTTGGGGGTCTCTTTAGGGGATGAGGTTGCTGGAGCTACTTTTGGGGACGGAGGAGCCACAGCTGAGGGAGTAGAGGCCCCTTTGGGAGGTGTGGTAGCTGGGGACTCTTTAGGGAATGGTACTGCTGGGGCTCCTTTGGGGGAAGGAGTCATAGCTGGAGAAGTGGGGGTCTCTTTAGGGAATGGAGTTGCTGGCCCCTGTTTGTAGGGAGAAGCCAGAGCTGGGGAAGTGGGAGTCTCTTTGGGGGATGGAGGAGTGGGGCAATGCTTCTTGGCCAGTGAACCTTTCGGGACTTGAAAAGAAAGATCAGCCTCTGGAAGAACTGAAGCTTCAATTGGAGAAACAGGGAATGAGAGATTTCCAGCAGGAGCATCAGGGATAGCAGGTATATTTTTAGAAACCGAAGCAACAGTTATGGTAGTAGTAGGAGTAGCTGAATCCTTCTTGGTTGGAGATCTTTTAGTCTGAGGAGACACACTAGTCCCTAAAGGAGATGAAGAGTCAGCAAGGTAAGTTCCTTTCGAAGATGCAGTAACAGAAACACGAGAGTCCTCAGTTGGGTACCCTTCAGGAGAGGAAGCCACAGGTGCCAATGTGGAGGTATGAGAAATACCATGAACTTTCTTTGCACCAGCAGGTGGGGGAAGAGAGGGAAAGGGCTCGGACTTGGAAATCGCAGAAGCCAGTGCCAAGGTAGCTGGAGAAGCAGAAACATTTTGTGGGGATACAGTCACAGCTGGAGCCGCCAGACAACCTTCAGACGTGGGAGGAACCAACGGTGAAGTAGTAAGAGTTGAAGTACCCTTTTTGGTTGGGTGGCCTTTAGGAGCTAAAGAGATAGCTCCTTCTAGAAAAGGGCTGGCTGTAGTTGTAGGAGTGGAGGTTCCTTTGGCAGTTGTAGGAACCGCCCCAGAAGTGGCAGCATGTTCCAAAGGAAATGTAGCTACAACTGGGGTAGTGAGAGAACTTTTGAGAAGCAGAGTAGAGGGGTCTGGGCTTGCATACGGATCTGTCTTGATTATAGGGGTTGGGGAAATAACACCCAGAGGAGTGGAGGTACAGGCTGGCTTATCTACAGGCAGAGGCTCTACAAGGCTTTTCTTTGCTAAAATGGCTTCAGGAAGAAGAGATACCTCCAGAGAAGATGATACACTTTGCAGAGAGGGGGGATTTTTAGGGCCTGCCAAGGACAATGGTAACAGAGTAGGGTCTTTCTTGGTAGGGAGTCCTACCTGGGTTGGTGAAGTAGGGGCTCCCACAGGAGAGGCAGGTACAGTTTGGAGATCTTTTTGTGTTGGGGACTTTACCAATAGTGAAGCAGAGAGACTTTTGGGATCCTTGGGCACTGGAAGAGGAGAGACTGGTATCCCCAGAGTGGTTGTTACTTGAGGAGTAGGAGGCTCTTTGGGAGTCACAGGTGCCATAGCCAAGGCAGTATAGGAAGCTGAGTCCTTACTACTTACGGGACCAGATGAAATTGGAGGAGACACACAAGTAGCCACCTCAAAAGTAGGAGGTACTACAGAAATTGTAGAGGGATTAATCACCACAAGTGAGGTGGTTCCAACAGAAGAAACAGGAGCTTCTTTTGAGCCTGGACTCCCTGGAGAACCAGGAGATATCTGGGCCACCAAAGGCTGCTGAACAGAAGCATTAGGAGAGCCTTTGAGATTTAGAGAGGGTGTAGGAGATAAGGGAAAAGAGACAGCTGCATTTGAGGAACCAGAAGGGCTGTAGGAAGCTATGTCAGTGATGGTAGAGGGGCCTTTGTCAACAGACAGAGCCAGAGGGGAAGCTGGAGCCTCTACTGGAAAAGCGGCCACAGCATCAGGAATCACCTCATTTCTGGAAGGAAGGGAAAGAATTACAGCTTGCTGAGAAGGGTAAGAGGCCCCTATGGAAGAATGATCTACAGAAGTGGTATTCACTATAGAATCTGACAGGACATTAATGCCTGTTTGACCTACAGGTTGAATAGCAGAACCAACACAACTCTGATGTAAAGGTGCAAGATGAGAGCCCGGAGAAGTGAGGAAAACTGGGGGGACATTGGGAGCCACAGGAACAGACTGGGTTGAAAGAGATGAGGCAGCAGGTGGACTAAGGGGTCCCTTTAGGCTGAGGCTTAGAGGGTTTTGTGGAGAAGTCAGAGGTGAGGAAATAGGAGTACCTTCGACCTGAGGGGAAGTGATGGCTAGGGGAGTAACAGGTGGTATCTGGGCACATGAGGCAACTCCAGATTGACCAGAGGCCAAGGGAGTTATGAGATTGGAAGGAACAGCACTGACTGTACCTGGAAGGATGGGAGTACCTTTTGGATTAGGGGCTACTTGAGAGGAAGCTTGAACAGGAGAGACCTTTGGTTCTGAGGAAGCAATGGGAGCTGACAGAGATGTCACTGACCCTGACTCAGGCATAGCAACTGTAGGTGGTGAACTAAGAGGGTTAGAGGGATATGCAGAGCTCTTCTGAACTGAGTGGGGAGCCAAGGCAACAAGAGCCAAGGGAGCTGAAGAGCAATGGGCACCTTTCAAAGTTGGAGTTATCATGGGAGAGGCCAGAGCTAAGGCAGCTGGGGAGATGGGAGGTCCTACTAGGTTTGGTAGGAAAGCTGGTGTGTCAGGGGCAGCTCCCAAAGGCAGGGCTGTTTCAGAGAATGACTGGGGAAAAAGAGCTTCAAAAGGGGTTGAGGCAATAGCAGAGGGAGAAAGGAATGGAGAAGGCTGGTTAGGGGTTGCCACAGGGCATTGCTGGGGTGCTAGAGAGCAAGGAGGGGGAAGGATAGGTTCAGGCTGCCCTAAGGCAGCAGGGACACTCAATGCGGAAGACACAGGAAGCACAGCTGGAGGAAAAAAGCAAAAAGGGGAAAAAAGGAAGAAAGGGAAGACAAAAAATTAAAGGTGAGTTGTACAGCCCAACTTGGTATAACATGCTTCTTAAGAAACACTAGAATTTTTAATGTGAGGATGAAAGTCACCACACAGGATTAGACAAAGGTGACAGGCAATAGCAACCTTCCCGAAACACACTTCAACAGTCAAGTAAGAATACATCCTTCCCCTTCCTTCCTCAAATGAACACTAAATTTTTCTCACAGGCCATAGAATCACCACTAGAAGAATAGTCATTCCATCTTGCCCACCCAAGGATCATGACCTAAATAAAACAGATCCTGAAAACTGGAACAAGGAAGGTACTGACTGGTGATGATGATGGGGAAACAGAGCTGAATGAGAAAAAACAGGTCTTTATATGCTCAGGCTTCCAGAAAGGTCAGGACAAAAATCTGACTCTTAAAGTTTTAGGAAGGGGCTGTCTAGCACAATTTCATTCTTCCTAAAGTGGAAACTTCAGAATTTAATAGTATTTAAAGTATTAAATTAGGCCACTTTGACCTCCCTCTGCCTGTTTACTTATCCCAAACAAACAAACAAAACCACCACAAATGGGCTAGACTCCAGTCTCTACAGACCTGCTCAGGTAATGTTAGCTCTTCAGAGATCAATCTAAGATGAATCAGACTGCTGGGGAGAGAGCTTAGTCACAAGGGTAGGGACTGTATTATGAAATTGTAACCCAACTTGTTAAATACTGGTCAATTTTTGAAGTAGGGAATTGGAGTGGAGAGACTACACTGGATCTGGATAAGTATGTCATTTTGCCAAAATAGACCAAGATTTGGCACTAAAGTAAAGCTAAGCAAGATTTTCTGAATGACAGAAAAACCCATGCTTACTGTCCAGGAGATAACGCAGGATTAGAGCAACAGTGCTCAACATCTAGAAGGGAGTATTAAAAAAAAGCCCACAGCATCCAAATCCACAATTTACTCAACCATAATCCTGAAGTTTTTAGAGTATTGTACTACAGAAAAGATAGGCAGCGCAACCAGTTTTACCTGGAGAGTAGGTAGGTCAAAGTCTTATGATTACAGTGTAAATGCAAGCTTAGAATGTTTTCCTCTGACTGGACTTCAAGGTTGAATAAGGCCCAAATTACATGGTTTAGACACCATAACCAATTCCCTGAGCTAGTTTTCTCATGCATTCTAATAACTAATTAATTATACTTACAGAGAAAATTCTGAGTATTTATCACTGGCATTCTCTTATTATTAAACCTACAGAGCAAGGTCAAACTATTCAGGAATAAGTTTAATAGCACTAAAGATTGTTTCAAATGGCATTAGTTTTGAAGCTTGAAAACATTTTAAATTCATCTGAATTTCAGACTCCACGTTTGTAAAACCAAGTTGTTTAATGAGTCTCTACGATTTTGCTTAGCACTGAAATTACAGGATCTTTAGAGACCAATCCTTTATTTTTTCCCTCCCTTGTAAGTTCAAGGATTTCCTATAGCTCATTTCCCAGCTCAGGGCCTCCCTTTTTCTTTTCTAGCAGCTGTAGCAATCTCTTCAGCTGTTAAAATCAGACAGGTGGGGAGGAAGAACCTTAACACTTGCAACTATAAACAACTCTATTTTAATTCCAGAAGACTGAAATTGCCTTTCAGTGACAGGTGGTTTTAAAAAATAATGAATTTACCACAAGAAAAAAAAAGTGAGGATGGAGGTGACAGCCTGAGGATTCATTTCATTTAGTTCTGCACAACTGACTCAGTAAGATCATTAAAAAATTTTTTTACCCCCTTTCAAGTTTTAGAGACATATTTTAAGTGGAATTCAAAATTTGCCTTTATATAATGTTCACATCCATTAATTTCAAAAAACTGAATAGCAGTCAAAGGAAGCTTTTATTTCAATCCTGGTTCCAGACAAACTGATGAAGCGGGCCCTATTCCAGCACACTAGAAACATCTCAGCACCAACCCATAAAACAAGTTAAACAACCTAGGAGGGCCCCTGGGCCTAGTAGGACACATTTACCAGCGGCACACATTTCATCCAGACATGTGATGACAACATAATGCCAAGTCCTGCCATCTAAAACCTTGATGCAACTTGTTGGCTGGAACTTCACAAAAGCTCAGGTCTCCTTGGCCTGTTAGTGTGTAATCCAGTTCTAATTGGTAAGAATCACTGAGCATCTGTCCTGCTCAGTTTTCCTATATGAAATGAGGGTTCCACTCCCTTTGAGGCAGTTGCCATACCTACAAAGCAAGCCAGGGAGCTTTTAATGTTCTTGAATCTTAAACATATGGTTTGTATTCCACTCCTTAATGAAGTCCCTCCAGGACAGCAGTTAATATTATGGACTTTCCTCCCTGGTAGAGCTACAGCCCATCTTTTAAAATACGAGTTAATTCTGAAAGACATAAGTGTATTCCCTTTTCATTTTATCCAAGTAGTTTTAGGGTCTATCTTACAATCTTAATTAATTGCAAGGGGGCTAGGAGAACCTACCTGTCTCAGCTTGGGGCTGTGGCAACTCCTGCTCTGTAGCAGGGACGGTTTCTGTGGCTTCACCAGGCATTTCTGAAGGGAATAAAAAGGAAGTCTGAAATTGACTGGGACCTGTTCTGTTGCCTAACCCAGAATCAAGTATTCTTAAAAACTCTGCGGAGGGCTGTGAAGAAAAAATCATGAGGGTGTTTGGGGACAACTCTCCCCAAAGCAGCTGGGAATAGGTGAGAAATATGACATGACCCTCAGATCTCCGATCAAGCGATCACCTTTTTCACCACTCTTCACTCCGCAGAGAGGGGGTTTCCAGTGCCCAAGGGTTCGTTTTATTCCACACTACAAATCCCACAAGGGCAAAAATAATCACTGCGTTCTCAACCTGATAGAGAAGATCCCGGTCTGACTCCTGACCATAGGAGACTTGACGCTACCGTGAGCCACCTCACTCATATATGTTCACTGCCTGGGCTGGGATCTCCAAGATTCCCGTTTGCCGATTTTCGGGAATCAGGAGGGAGAGTGCCGTTAAGTCTCAACACTCGCTTGTCACAATAAGAACCAAGGGGTAAGGGAGAGAGTGGGGGGAGTTTCCAAGGCTGTGACCCCATAACCTCCTATGAATTCTCGCGAAGCCGTTCCCCAAAGCAGATGCACTCCGCTTCCGCCCCCAACACCGCAGCCGCTCCCGTCACCCCAGCCCTGGACTCCAGGCCCAGCTTGCGGCCCTTCTGCCCTGCTTTTGCTAGGACGCTAATCGCAGACCCCATTTTGTCCGGGGGCCCCACAGCCACACTTCCCAGGGTCGAGTAGGAGCCCGGTGGCCCCATAAAGCCCCCAACTCTCCTTAGCTCTCAGTCCCCGGGGCAGCTTAACATGCAAGGAAGGTGGATGACCACGGATAGAGAGTAGCGGCGAAGACAGAACTTACTGTGCAGAGAACGCGGAACCAAGATGGCGGCAGAAAGAGAGCGAACGAGAGCGTGACCCACGCCTGTTGCACAAGGAAGCCTGGCGGAGGGGGAGGGACTAGGATCCGCTTCCGGGTCAGGAGCTGTCGGCAGTCACTTCCTTTAACGAGTGACCTGTCCGTCCGGGTGTTCCCAGATGGGGGTGGTGACGAAGTCTAAATAAGGGTAAGAATTCAGAATAGGACGCCCTGCCCTGGCAGGAACTCTCAGCTGGGAGCCACGCGGTCCTTAGATAGCCGACCCCTTCACGTCCCCCAAAGCGAAGCATTTTTGATACCCGAAGGGAAACTGCAATGAGAGAAGCAACCATCCTCTGTCCTCTGGTCGGCAAAATAGCCACAGCGGTAATATTGCGACTTCTAGTTTTCCCTTCTCAGATAATGAGGGTAAACATGAAGTTTTAAGTAATAGTGAAAGCCAGAGATTGTATTCACACCAGTGGAAGGTAGCAGTGACCTAGGTTAACCCTGTTGTTTTTTGGAATATGCAATTTAGGTTCATGATAGGTTCACCTTTCCAGAAGAAAACATAGGCATATACGCAATTCTTTTTGCCTGCTACTTTGGGCACTTAGATATCCTAAAACTCATCCATTCTAAGTAGGGGTCCAACACACCACGTTAAGAACCCATGCAGTAAGTAATATTCTTGAAAAGCAGACTGTAAAATCAGTGTTTTGTTAATGAAAAATCAATGAGTCTTAATTTCCATACCCTCTCAGCCCTACAAAAGGGCTCAACAAATGTTAATCTAAATGAGCTAACACTATTTGAGCTGTGGCTTTTAAGGGAAGCAGTGAACATTTAAAATGCTCTGAAAACTACTTTAAAATATGAGATCTTTACCATAATGAAGTGAGGATCAGGATTAGCGAATTAGGATTAAATGAGATAATGGAGTTTACCAGGAACAAGACATTCTGAAATTCTCTTCAGAGAGGCAATATTGTGGAGTGATTAAGAACATGGACTCTGAAGCCAGACTTTGTCTGAATCTGGTTATTTAAGTTATCTTAGGCAATTTAATCAACCAATTTGTACCTCAGTCTCCTTACCTATAAAATGACGATAATGGTGGCTACTTAATAGGGTTGGGAAGATTAAATTAGGTAAAATATGTACATCTTTAAAATGTGTTACTATTGAAATTATAGAATTTCTACCCAATAAGTGATCTGGAAGATTTGTCAATGAAGTCTACTTACCTTCAGAAGGCCAGCAATTGCCAATCATCTACTTAGACAAATAAAAATTATGTATATTTTGGTCATTCCCCTTTCTTTACAGAATTTCCTGGTAATGACTAGCTAAGGAAGGATGTATTTTCTTTGGAGTCTTTATAAATTGGTTGTTTGGAGATGGAAACCAGTTCTGTACCCTTTGTTTCTATATATATGGAAGTTCTCATATATGGAAGCGTTGGCAAATCAGAATAAAGAAGTTAATAGACTTGAGAATGTTTCTATCTTCAGGAACCAAACATTTACTTTGACACGAGCACAAAATGCTCTGTAATTAATTTTATGAACTAGTATACTAGCTTTTATCCAAGGGCTTTAATA